TTTAGGCACATTGTGCACGCAGCAATTAGGGCATGTGTTAGAAAAATGTGACTACCGGGTATCTTGTAAGCAAAAGAATTACTCTTACTGTCTTTTCCTGTAATCTTGTGACATAGAATCATTCTTCGGTCACTTATGTCAAACATTTGTTAAGCCTATGGCCTAATATGGCTAAGCTAAAATCTTACAGCCTGTAGACTTTTGAGCCCTCCTTATTTAGACACCTGATACCTAATTATCTCTTCTAACTACTGCTCAATCTTGTACTTCTGTAATCCTACAGTTTAGCTCTAATCAGCATACAAAGATTATATATGACATAACTTTTTAGTTAATCATAACATCACACAATGAAAGAACAATAAACTAAAATCATTGGCTACATGTCCATTCATCTATCCAGCCATCCCTCTGCAATACCCAGCTAACTCTCCACTCATAGTAGGAGAGATGGACACTCCCCTCTAAGGCTTCAGCGAATGCAGAATTTTCTTGATCCAGGGAACATATTTGGAGACCTTGGTGAACACTGTGGGTGCAGATCCATCAGAACTGTCATAGGATACAATGCCCTTGACCTTCCCATGACAGACCAGGGGGCCCCCAGAGTCGCCCTGAGAAGCAAATACCAGGCGCGGGGTTAGAGATGTCCAAGCAAAGGGCAGGCTGCATTCTGTATTCATAGTCCTGAAATCTAGCTCTGTATCTTGCTTCTGAGGGACTCATGCTCCACTCACTCCCAGGACCCACCCAGGACTCCCACCGTACAGTCCAGTGATCCAGCTGTCTCCTGTCCCCGATTTCTAGGATCTGCCCAGTTCCAGTCCCTATTTCTAGTATCCATCCCCAATTTCTTTAACCTGCTCAGTTCCTGTCCCTGATTCCTAACCCTGATTTCCAACCTGCCCTTGATTTCTAGGATCTCATGCTGATGTCTCAGATCCATCCCTGGGTTCTTGATTCAGCAATTCCCTCACTGAGTCCTATGATCCCGCTGACTCCCAACCCTGATTTCTAGGATCCATCCCTCATTATTAAGATCCATCCCTGATTTCCAGGATGTGGCTGACTTTGTTGTCCCCAATTTCTAGAAACTGGAACATCCAGCTGATTTCTGTGATCCAGCTAATTTCCGTCCCTGATTCCCAGAATCTGCCTGGCTCGCCATGGATCCTGACTCTCCCCATTCTGCCCAGCCCTAGCAGTCTCCAGTTATAGCAGCACCTTCCCCCTGGCACCATGTGCCCCTGTTTCACACTCACCCGAAATGACGCATTGCTCTCCTGGGGGTCCCCCACGCAGAGCATCTTGGCAGGGTTGAAGTTAAGATAGGGCAGAGACAGACAGACGTCCTTGCCCATTACCTTGATATCCACCTCCTGCAGCGTCGGGGAGGGCTGGGCATTTGCCTCAGAACTATTCAGGCCCCAACCCGCCATGCTGCACTCATCCTTCTTCTTCACCTCTCGCTGGGATAGGGAGATGGTGCCCACTGCCTGGGTCAGCTTGGCCTTGTCCTTCAGCTGTGATGGGGGAGAGAGAGAAGGGAAATCAAACGCCTCTTGGGGGATAGATCTGTGCTGGAGGGATGAGGCCAGATGGGGCCAGGTAGGACATTCTCATGAGAACTGTGCAACATTGTCATGCCATGTGCCACCTTGAGGCAGGGTGATGGGATGGGAGAAACCTCCAGTTGTGTGAGGTCACTGGGAGCAGAGCGATGGGATGGGGCTGGTACCTGCAGCATCATTGGGGGTGGGGTGATGGGATGGGGGCAGTACCTCCAGCAGTGTGAGGTCAGTGAGGACGGGGTGTTATGATGGGGCAGTACCTGAAGCAGTGTTAGAAAACTAGCAACAGGTTGATGGGATTGGGGTGGTACCTGCACTAGTGTGAGGTCACTGAGGGCAGGGTGATGGGATGGGGCTGTACCTGAAGCAGTGAGATGTCCCTGGAGGTGGAGGGATGGGATGGGGGCTGTACTGCAGCAGTGTGAAGTCACTGGGGGTGGGGGGATGGGATAGGGGTGGTACCTGCAGCAGTGTGAGGTCACTGAGAGTGAGGGGATGGGATGGGGGCTGTACCTGCAGCAGCATGATGTCATTTTCAAACGTGGCGTCATTAAATTCTGGGTGGAGGATTCGACGATGTACAAGGATCTCCTTCCTCCCCTGTTCATGTATGGCAACATTGTGGGCCCCCAGCAGCACAGTGATGTTGCTGTAAAACATAGGGGGATGCAGGTGCTGCAGACAGGTCTATACAATGGACTCAATCATGGGTTGTTAACCACGTTATAGTGTGTGTGTGTGTAGACACTGCCTTGCACTCAGGATGAATGTACAGAAGCCAGCACTCCAGGGTATTTTCCCTGTAGGAGGGGCCAGATTCGACCCAGTCCTAGGTTGGGGAACTAGCTGTCTCATCAGCAAGGCATGTTGCATTTCTTACCCCAGGTTGCAGTTACAATGAGCCGCCGTTACCACCACATCCTCCCGAATCAGGAACCCTCCACACATGCCTCCTTCATTTTCTCCTGTCTCTATCTTCACAAAAGCCATGTAGGGTCTGGAGTGCGGCTCGGCTTCCTGTCCTCCGATGATCTCCCCTGGCAAAGCCCCCAAGAGAAGGAGTTAGTTTAGGCCCCCGCTACAGCCAGCTAGTGAACTCCTCCTCTGACCGAGATCAGGACCCCTGGGGCTGGCACTGCAGAGAAACAGAGTGAGAATCCATGCTCCAGAGGGTTTACATACACACAGGATGGATCCTCATCCCCATTTCACACACTGGGAAATTCAGGCACAAAGAGAAAGTGACTCACTCCGGATCCCTGGCGTAGAGTGTGGCAGAATTGGAAAATGAACCCAGAATGCCCAGCACTGCCCCCTCCCCCTCTGCAACCACTAGAACCCACTCCCCTCCCAGAGCCGGAAACTGACCCCAGGAGTCCTGGCTCCAAGCCCTTCCCCTTTCCCCCCCGCTCTAACCACACAGGCTGCACAGCTCTGCATTTCCTGTCTAGGAGCTGGCTGTTCACATCAGCCTGTATTAAGTCTCTCTGTGTCACCTTCCACTCAGGCGATTTTCTATGATTGCATCAACCCCCTCCTCTGCTCAGTCCCTTTAGCTCCCTGCACACCTGCCCACAGCTCCCCAGCGGCATCCTGCACACACGCCAATAACCGACCCCAGACCTCATGGCCCTGAGGCTCCCCGGGTGCATCCTGAGCAGGCACCAATGCCCCACAAACCCCACGGTAGCTCAGCTGGGTGCTGGGGACACACCAATGACCCTGGTGGAAGCATCTGACGCTGGGGAGGAGCCAGGGTTTCAGGCACCTCCAATAGATCCAGGCTCTGCTCTCTATGAGGCTGGGGGGGGGGTATTCCCTGTGTACTCACCAGCATGAGCCCCAGGGGGCAGGGGAAAGGCAATGTGGAGCAGCAGCAGCATCGTCAGAGGGAGTCCAGGGATGTGGGTGATACATCTGCCTCTGGGGTCATGTATAGGCCTGACTAAGAAGGGGCCACCAGGTTACATTCGGCTCAGGTAAACCACAGCCCCCGAGTCCTGCTGGGGAGGAGTTCGCACGTGGGGTGTCACTGAACAGCCACGCTGCAGAGCTAGCAGAGAGCAATCTGCTGGGCTACATCTGGGGACGTGCACACGAAGGGCTGTGCACATCTGGGGCCCTGTTGTCCAGGGGCTGTGCACATCTCACGCCCTGGGGCCTGTGCACATCTGGGACCCTGATGCCTCCCTTACTCACCAGTCTGAGCCCCAGGGAGCAACTGCAGCAGCACTATCAGGGGCCATGGGGGACAACATCTGCCTTGGAGGTGGGTTACAGGCATGGCTGGGCACCGGGGATGCAAGGCAGGAAACCTCAGGACCATGGGCTCTTGGGCGTGGGTGGAGGACCTGCCGTCTAAGCGCTTGGATGCCCCCCACACTACACCAGCTGAGGGGGAGGGTGGAAAAGGGGAGTTGCCATCTGGGGCCCAGCAGCCCCTGAGCCCATTCTGGTAGGGGGGGCATGGGCATCGCAGGGCTGCACTCACCCTGCGCCGTGACCTACAGCCCCGCTGAGTGGAGGGAAATGGATCAGCCGCTAAGAGGAAGAGCCCAGGTTGGGACTTGTGTTGTGGAAAACTAGGCCTCATCTAAGGGTTTGTCTACACTGGCACTTTACAGCACTGCAACTTTCTCATTCAGGGGTGTGACAAAACACCCCCCTGAGTGCAGCAAGTTTCAGTGCTGTAAAGAGCCAGTGTAAACAGTGCACCAGTCCCAGTGTAGACTAGCCCTTAGTGTCTCTCTGCACTGGGAGGGCTCCTGTGACTGGTTGGGACCTTCACAAGCCCCAGGCTCACAGTCTCGCTTGCCTGCTGTCAGTCAAAGCAAGGCCACCCCACCCCCACCCCCGCTTCCCGACCAGGTGAAGGAGCTGGAGGAATGTTCCTCTTTGTCTAGGTGCTCACCATGGCTGGGCTGGGGCACATCTGGGCACCGGTACAGCCTGGAGCTGTGCACATCTGGGGCAGAGCTGAGCCCCGATGCAGTTTGGATGCTCCCTGCCCTTTCTCTGTGCATGCACTAGATGAGATGTGTTGTGGGGCTGAGACATCCACTGAACCAGCTTTGCTGGCCTCTTCCTCCAGGTGCCCAGGTCGGAGCAGAGATGGGGTGGGGGGGACACCTCAGTGTGATGTTTCCACCTTCCAGGTGGGGTCCCAGCCATCTCTATTCCTGGAAACCCCACTGACACTTTATACCTTGGGGGAGCGTCCTGTAACCCCCATACGCCTCACTTGTATATAATTGTGATCTTACATATAAATCATGCCTTGTAAGGTATCAGGGGAAAGGTTATGATCTGCTGCAAGTCATTTCTCTATCCATATATGTGTATCTTTAATGCATATGAAGTTATGAGAATTGCATTGTATGGCTGTCACTAAAACATGCTGTAAGTTGGGGGATCAGTCAGATATTAGCTCCCCAGAGGCAACAGCAAGGAAAGTAACCAATGCCCGGGCGGGCTGTCAAACAACCCATCAACAGCCCTTGTCCAGCAAGGGAGCTACAGTGCAATGACTCGCCTGCATGAGGCCACACCAGGGGAATTGCTCAGCCCAGCCTGGAGACTCGCAATGCCCCCGGACACGCCTGGACTTGTGTTTTCCAAGCACATGGACTGAGGGTATAAAACAGACACAGTGGCCACATGCTGGGCCTTTCTCCTTCACCCGCCTACGCTGCAAGCAACAAAGACACTCAGAAGAAGACTTCAGATGCCAACAGAGGAGGCTGGCCCAGATTTCATGGGTGAAATCTGTGCACTATGAACTGCAATATCCAGTGGGGTGAGAAAAACGGCTTAATTTAGATGTTGCCCAGTCTAGTAGGGATGAAGGTTTAGACTGCGTGCTTATTTTTTATTTTATTTTAGTAACTAACTCTGACTTTTTTCCAATCACTTAATATAAGTTAAAATCTATCTTTTGTAGTCAATAAATTTAACAGTTTATCTTTACCAGTGAGTTTGCCTGAAGTGTGTGGCAAATCTGCTCAAGTTTGCAAAGGCTGGTGTATATCCACTTTCCATTGACGAAGTGTTGAACCAATTAATAAATCTGCATTGCTCAGCCTGAGCAGTGCAAGACGGTATATTCCTGAGGTGCAGTGCTAGGCTCTGGGGGGATCTCGCTGGGGCCTTTCTCTGTGTGATTCATGAGTGGCTCTGGGAGCATTCATGCAATACAGCTGGGTGTGGGGCTTCACATGCAGTTGGGCTGAGTGATGATAACGCCTGGAATGGTTTGCTGCTGATCACTAGCAAGGCGTTGTGAGAGACAGTCCAGGCTGGGGAGAGTTAAGGGGACACAGCAGTCCCACAGTCCCAGGCTGCACCCCAGGGATCCTGTCACACCCACCACACGGGCTTGGGGGGGAAGATCAAGGTTGGCTGGGTCACGCCCCCTACAACTGAGCTCCGGAGCCCTGCCCAGCTGGAGGATGCCTGTTCTGGTGCCAGGCTAAGCTGGGACCACACCTATCTGGGACCCACCTTGTGCCCCTGGCAACTCTGCACTGCTGGGTACCACGCACATCTGCAGTGCAGCTGCAGGAGATTGCTCAGCAGCTAACAGAGTCTGAGCTGTCACCCCGGCTTGGTGCTACTGTGGTGGGAGCCGTTGTCTGACCAAGGTTCAGCTCAGCTTCTGGTGGGAACCAGGCCCCTTGATCCTTCTCAATGCTCCCTCCTCCCCCACACTGTGTGTGTGAGATGTGGTGAGGGACATGGGTCATGGAGACTAGATCCCGACCCCCCTGCCCCCCCCATGTGACAGCACTGCTTCCCACAGACACCAAGATTGGGGACGGGGGCAGAAACAATTAATCTGATTCTCAACCCCCTGAGCCAGCCAGTCTTGGATGGGAGTTGGTGTCCCCTAGACGGAAAAGGCTCCCTAACCCATTCCCCACTGCCCCGGAGCCAGCCATTCCTTTTCCTGGGGCTTTCTTGGAGCTGATGCCCCATATCCATTTCCCACCCACCCTCATATGAAGTGTAGCTCCATAGCAAGAGGCTGGACTCCATGGGGAACAGTTCCCATTGCACTGGGTTGGGGGCTGAGTGGTCTCCAGTGTGTACCTGCTCCTGGCCATGTATTTTTGGGGGGTCATTGCATGTTTGACTCGTGAAAATCTCCCCATATTCCCCAATTGGGAGATGCTGGGCACTGAGCTTCCATGGGATTGATCCCCAGTACTTGACAGGATGGGCTGTGGATTGTAAAGGGGGGTCAGGGTGTTAGGATCCCACTGAGTATCAATGAGATTCAGATAACTCACTCCTGTAGGAGGCTTTGAACACCCCAGCCTGGCTGTGTGCAGTAGCTGCGGCCAATTCTAAAGGCCCTGAAAGGAATTAAATACCCATAAAGACTGAACATCACTACACTCCAGCAGCTGGAGGACAGGGAGTGAAATTAACAAGAAAACTCGGTGAAGGTGACAACAGAGCTGAGCAATGGGTAACCCATTCAGGGGATGGGTGGATGGAGTAGGTGGGGGCGGGAGGGAGGGATAGATAGAAAGGGTGGGTGGACATGGAGGGCATAGTCGAAAGACAGATCCTGAGATATGAGGCCTGCTACAAGGGCTGGTGTTGCAACAACACAAGAACTCATAGGCACTAAGCATTCATGTAAACACATTCCAGAAGGATGGTTCCAGAACATCCTAATACAAGTTAAACACCCCCAATACAAGTTAAACACACTCCCTGAAGGTGATACAGAGATACACCGACCCCTCCTAAAGATAAGGTCAGGGTGATGGATAGAGATGTTTAGAATGAACCAACATGTACAAGGTAAAGGGTGGTAACTAATCACATCAGAGGGGCAATTTGTTTGCATCGGTGTATAAAAAGGGGGGTCACGGAAGGGATGTCCTTGTCTGGATGAGCGGGGAGCAGAAGGACCCCCCCCCCCCGAGTTGAGCTCATTGTCATGGACATACATGTGTTTGTGTACCGGTATCACATACACGGCACTAATACCATCCTTTTTCAGCAATAAACCTAGCCGAGCACCTTCTCCACTGAAACAAGTCTGTGGTCTTCTTGGGCACTTAACCTGTACAGCAGACTTCAGTCGATCTGGCCAGAGCCAGCGCAGCACACACAGAAAACACACATTCAGCCAACAACTGACAAAACTGGTGACCCCGACTGCTGATCTGGTAAGTGGGTGAGTTGTCCTCTGTAGGATTCATGTTATAACATGGCAGAAAGCTATGAGCTAGGGAACCCCCTTATCCCTTCCCTGCAAACCCCCAGAGAGTTTGATGAGATATGGACAAACTGGGTTGCCAGCAA